TAACCTGATTGATGATCAGTTAGGAATCGCTGAGGATCAAAAGACGCTTCACACCCATTCCCCTTGCGACCTTCAGACCATTTATCAAGGCTTCATACTCGGCTTCGTTGTTCGAAGCTCAGAAACCAAACCGGAGTGTGTACTCGAAACGAAGACCACCAGGGCCGAGGAGTAGCATGCCTGCCCCACAACCCTTCTCGTTGGACGAACCATCCACATAGAGTGTCCACTGGTCACAGACATCGCCCCCTTGCCTAGGTGGGGTCAGCTCGGCAACAAAGTCTTTAGCTGCCTGATCCTTCAACGCTGTTCTCGGCTCGAAGGAGATGTCATGCTCACTGAGCTCTAGGGCCCACTTCATCAGCCGACCTAACGTTTCGGGCTTGTAGAAGATCTACCTTAAGGGGAAGTTCGTCGGAACGATTATCTTGTGCGCTTCGAATTAAGGTCGTAGACGTCATGTCGATGTCACTAGTGCTAAAGCCAGCTTCTCAACACAGGGGTAACGAGCCTCGGCCTCAGTCATCGACTTGCTCGTGTAGTACACAGGGCTCTACCGACCTTCTGCTTCCCGCACTAGGACTGAGCTCACTGCATTTTTCGACACGACTAAGTACAGGTAGAGAACGTCACCAAGTAGTGGCTTGATAGCAATGGGGTCGTGCTGAGGTACTGCGTCAACTGCTGAAGTGCTGCTTCGCAATCGTCGGTCCATTCGAACCGACCCTTTTCCCTTAGCGTTTGGAAGAAAGGGTGGCACTTGTCAGTGGAGCGAGATACAAAGCGATTCAAGGCTGCTAGACGGCCATTCAACCTCTGCAGCTGCCTAATATTCCTCGGTGCCTCCATGTCGAAGACTGTTCTTATCTTGTCCGGATTGGCTTCAATTCCACGTTCGTGGACCATGAACTCGAGGAATTTTCCTGACGATACCCCAAAGGCGCACTTGCTTGGGTTGAGCTTCATCCAACACTTTCGAAGCACGCTGAAGGCCTCTGCCAGGTCGGCTAAGTGTGAGCTCGTCTGCTTGCTCTTCACCAACATGTGGTCCACATACACCTCCATGTTGCGTCTGATCTGTTTGGTGAACATCATGTTGACCATCAACTGGTAGGTCGCCCCGACGTTCTTCAGACCGAAAGGCATGACGTTGTAGCAATACAGCCCTTGGTCGGTAACAAACGCGGTATGCTATTGGTCGGGTGCATGCATCTGAATTTGGTTGTACCCGGAATAGGCGTCCATGAAGGAGAGTAGCTCGTGCCCTGCTGTTGCGTTGACGAACTAATCTATCCGAGGTAGGGGAAAGCTGTCTTTCGGACACGCCTTGTTAAGGCTCGTGAAGTCAATACAGACACGCCACTTGCCGTTAGACTTTTTAACTAAAACAACATTGGACAACCACGCGGGGTAGTGAACTTCTCTTATGAAATTAGCTCGTAGCAACTGCTTGACTTCTTTACAAATTGCATTGCTTTGCTCGGTGTCGACAGGCCGACGCTTTTGCCTCACAGGCCTATAGCTAGGATCTACATTAAGTCTATGCACCATTATACTTGGGTCGATGCCCGGCATGTCGTCGTGAGACCATGTGAACACGTCGGAATTTGCCTTCAGAAAGTCGACAAGTTCTTCCTTCACTTGGGCCCCCAGTCTGCTGCCAACGTTGACTTGCTTATCCGGCCCCAGCAAAGGGACACCCTCAACTTCCCCCGCCAGTATGTCCAATTTCTTCTATTGGGTTCGCACAAATTCTTATGAATTGAGTTTCGATTTTATCTGAGTCATGTTCAATGAGTCGTTAGAAATGATTCTTCGAGCCATTTGGCTCCAATTTTGGTGAAATAGTAAAATTTCTTTTAAGAAACACGATTGTGTCCTCGTTACGGAGACAACCTCATCAATTTGGTGCAAGAAGAGGGAAGCGACGGAGGAATGAGTAGACGGAACAATCGGCAGAAAAAAAGAAAAAAGAAAAAACCAGATCTGTTCCATGCCCATTTTGGTGGGGTTCCGCGGCAAGTAGGAGAAGGAGAGGAGATGTTGGACGAGGAGAGGGGAGGAAAGAGAAAAAATGAAATTAAAAAATAAAATAGAAAAAGCCATGTAAATTCAAATTAATAAAAATTACCACCTCATTTAAAAATTACAACCTCAAGTATCTCACGCCATTTTTTTTTGTTAGTGTCAGGGACCATTTACAACTATTTCTCTTACCTCAGGTACTAAAGTGCCACTTTTTGAAATTCCATGATCAAATAAACACCTAACTCAAAACTCAAGGACTAAAAATGTATTTTATCCAAAGTTTGAAATGTCGATGTCGATGGAAATGTTGAGGTCCCGATTTTACGAACATGTCAATATCGACGGATATTTGAGGAAAAATTATAGAAATTGTGGATATTGATGCAAAATTTTTGAATTAGTAAATATAACTTTAATTATAACTTAATTAGTCAATAATTGATAACTTTTAACCATCATATCTAAACGTATAAGTAATATGCTTAAGGACATGTCGTTAAGATGAAAACGTTGTAATAAAAATCTTGTATACGTACATGGACATTACTTGAATTAGTAAATTAAAGTTCACTGTTGTTTGATTATGTTTTATTTATAATTTCTAATCCAATTTATTCATTTAGTTACATA